AATGGTGTTTGTAAATAGGATCACAAGTCCGCATCTTGTACAGCAATTAACCACTAAGAAGAATATATGCAGTGTATTATTTGTTGAAAAAAAAAATGCAACCACCTGTAGCTTGCATAACCTGGATCCAACATTTTAAATATTTTATTTATTTAATAACCCTTATATGGTATCTTCATACCTCAGGTAATGTTTCAATTCTTTGAAAATATTAATTCATTCTTCTTAGGAAAATTCTCTGTAGCATTTTTGTGTTATTGTAAACCCTAATTCACAAAGAAAGATACTGAGACAAACAGATCAAGTAACTTGTCCAAACTCACAGAGCCAGTGCCAGTAAATGAAAGAAATAACTGCAGAGAATTTGTCTCAAGTGCATTTACACTGAGCCCTACAGTAAGCTATAATTCTCTATGTACGATGTGCTTTGGATCTCTCATTTGTATTTATAAGAAACAGGCTTAGAGTTAATAAAAGTACTAACATCATTGTCTAGGCAGGACCAGTGGTGAATCACTTTATTCATTCATTCACATTTGTAATAATCATTTGTTGACCAGCAACTGTAAGCCAGTTCTAAGCCAGTTTTTTGTTTGTTTGTTTGCTTTGTTTTGTATTTTAGGGAAGGGTCTACAGAATGTTCAGGGTCTCACTACTAGATCAGATTGCACTCACAGTGATCCACCTATTTACAGCCTCCTAAGAGCTGGGATTACAGGCACGCACCACCACGCTCAGTCTCAATGGCTGTCTCAGCGCCCTGGGGGTTGGGCCGGCACGGCAGGTCTGGGGATTGTACCCTCAGCCTTTGCGCCTGCTTGCAGGCACTTTAATCTGCTGAGCTATTTGGCCGGCCCTTTACTCTGGGAAACTGTAATAAATAGAGCATATTCCTGAACTCTCAGTCACCAGAAATAGAAGCAAATATTTATAATATATAATTAACACTAATTAAAAATTTCAATCTTTCCAATTGTTTTACTACAACTATTCTTTGATAAGATAGTGTGAAGAGGCCAGGGAGATAGAGATAGCTTGATGGTCTAAGCATCTGCCTGGCAAGGGCAAGGACCCAGGTCCTATCCTGGGTACCACATGCCCTGCGGGCCTGAAATCAGGCATAGTGGGCCACACTTGTAATCCCAGAGCTGGGAAGGCTGAGACAGGAGGATCACTACAAGTCTGAGCTGCATAGCAAGACCCTGTACCAAATAAAATAAGAAAGATAACACACAGAGCTTAAGCCCCCTCCCTCTCAATTTTTTTCTCATCCCGATGACTCCAAAATGTACATACCCTTGAGCCTAAATTTTATTATTTCATCCACTGCACCCTTTGATGATTTCATCTCCTACTTCTCTCAGACTGATCCTAACATTTTTTTTTTTTTCACTTTTTGGGGCCAGCTCAGCCCACCCTAGCAGCAGGACTAGTACAGCATTTGGTGCTGGGGATTGAACCACTGTCCCTGAGCTTTGCCTAAGCTTGCTTAAGCATGCACGTTAGACCACTGAGCTATCTCACTGGCTCCTGATCCTAACAATTTTTAATCACAAGATAAAGTATAGGCTTATTCTCATATGGAAATTCTGACGCACGTCTAAAAGAAATCTTGCCCTCTTGTAGGTTGAAGTCATTCATTGACAGGTGTGTCCTTAACATATTTCACATTTTGCTCAGGAATCTTGTATTGTGCTGTCAAGCCATCACATTCTTTACCTGCCTATCCTGCTATGCCCTCATCTTCCTTAGCATATATTTCTAACCAGAAACAATAAAAGCAATCACATGAGAATCACCTTAATTTCCTTTTACCCTGATACATTTATATTTGGACTCATCCTCAACTTCTACATTTAGGATAAACAAATTTCTTCTACTGTTCGAAATTAATCACTAATCTGTGTTCTTCACCCAGTCTCCTTCTATCTATACCAGAATTTTAATTTTCTATTAATGTTAGGGAGCCTGCCCCTTAGCTCAGTTCTTTAAGTGGCTGCTTCAACAAAGCAGTCAGCCTCAGGTTGCTGTGGTTCAATCCCCACAACTCAAGCCAGCCAAACCTGCCCTGAAGGCATTCAGAGAAAAAAAAAATCCTATTAATGTTAGTCTTCTCATATATTTCCTAAAATGTCCCAGGCTATTGAAGCCTTTTCCACACTTTTTTTTTTTTTTTTTTTTTTTTTTTTTGGTGGTACCGGGGATTGAACTCAGGACCTTATGCATACCAGGCAAGTGCTTATTCTACTGAGCTATCTCTCTGACCCTTTTTAGAAATAGAGCTTTTTTTTTTTTTTCAGTACCAGGGACTGAACTCAGGATCCTGCACTTGCCAGGCTCCACATTTTATAAATATTATCAAGTCTTTTCCTCCAAATGTCCTCAGAGGAAAACTCAACAACTGAATACCAAAAAAAGAAAAAAAAAATGCTTTTAAAGCGGGCAAAGGGCCTGAATAGACATATTTTTAAATAATTTATCCATTGTTTCAAAGAATTCAAACAAGTATATAAAAAAAAACACTCAAAACCAATAATCATCACAGAAGTACAAATTAAGACCATAAAGAAGTGTCATCTCACATTTTTGGATGGTTATTATCAAAACAACAAGAAATGACAATTATTTTCAAGGATATAGGGACAGGAGACACTTGTACACTGGTAAGAATGTAAATTGCTAAAGCCATTATGGAAAATGTCATAGAAGTTCCTCAAGGCACCAAAAATAGAACTGTAATATAATCCAGTAATTCCATTTCTGGGCATATATACAACAGAAATGAAATCAGTATTTCAAAGAGATATCTGCACCCATGTTCATTGTGGTACTATTTATATTAGACAAAATATGAAAACAGGGGGCCTGGCCATAGCTCAGTCCTTTAAGTGGCTGCTTCCACAAAGCTGTCAGCCTCAGGTTGCTGGAGTTCGAACCTCACAACTGTCCCGCTGGCCAAACGTGCCCTAAAGGCATTCGAGGAACAAAAAAAAAAAATATGAAAACAAAATTTATGTGCATCAACAGATTAATGGATTATTTATATCACCATATTATATGCAATATTCATAATATATTGTGTACATACTATGTTATACATCACATTTTATGTCACACGACATATAATGATACCTGTAATTAAATATATAGTCACAAATAGCAGAATTTGCTGTTCTATAGTTCCAGGAGATGACAAAAGAATGACGTGAAAGGCTAAATTAAAGTGTGGATGACCAAACTCAAGACAGCAGAGATACTAGTCAAGGGGCTTGGATATTAGATGCACCATCCCACAGGTGTCAAAATTACCCATGATGAAGGGAAAAACTAGAGCAAAAGAAAACACAGAGTCTGAAGACTTTCATCAGTTTGGATACATGGTCTAAATATCACTAGATGAAAACTGAAAGTGTAGAGGAGGTGTAGCCAAATATACAGTTCTTGAAGTTGGAGCAGTGTCTACACAAGAGTGAAAAGCAGTAGCCTAGTGTTGGTGATGGGTGAATGCAAACTTTTCTCTTTCTTTTAAAGAATTTATCCATTGTATCACACCTCCTATTTCTTTTTCACCAGTTTTTTCCTGGAAATAGGGGGTTTGTGGAAGATAATTAGAATATTCTTTGGTGTGCTGATAATTGCATAGGCAACTACCCTTACTGTAGCTGCTTTGGGTGATAACTGAGTATAAATGTTTCCTATCTGTTTTCTACTGTTGTATTACTATATCCAGAGACATATACTGACACTTGGACTAAAGGAAGTAATCATAGAACATGAAAATATTCTAGATTAGAATCATATAACTATTGAAATTCTTAAAAAAATATTGTCTTGTCCTTCCCAGTTTTTACTACAAAAGAAAACATATTCAGCATTCACCTTTCAATTATAGTAACTACACATACCTTTTTTTCTTTCTAGGGAGATTCTGGTGGACCACTGGTTAGTGCAGATTCTAAAGGAACCTGGTTTCTTGCTGGTATTGTAAGCTGGGGAGATGAATGTGCTCTTCCAAACAAGCCTGGTATCTACACTAGAGTGACATACTATCGAGACTGGATCCTGTCCAAAACTGGTCTCTAAAGGAAAAGTTCTCTATAGAGTACAGTTCAACGGCTATATGCTTAATATGTTTATAACTCCCAGGCCGCATTTATTTTAGGTATCACCTTTTCTTTTTTCTTTCTTTCTTTCTTTCTTTT